CAGTCACACAGAGAAAGGGGGTCTCTCTCCAGTGTTCCCTGAAAGTTGATTTTTATTATAGGATTATTTATAGTAGTATATGATGATTTTTGTCTTTCGTTGACAACAAAGATTTGGATGCGTGAAAAATTAGGCCCTGATATATAATCTTACACAGGTATCCCAGACACAAACCTAATCAGGTGCAATAACACAATGCTTCTACCTTATCCTACACATATAGAAAACATCAACAATATTTTCAAGCTTTATTTTTTAAAAATACAGTCAAGTTGGTCAAAACCTTTAGTGCCATATTGTGATCCTTATGGCTTGCTGTAGCACGGGGAACGGCATTTCAACCGGAAGTAGGCGGTGTCACTGAAAATAAAGAACCAAATAACGAGTTAAAATTTTATTTACTACCACACAGTAGTAGTCACCAACAAGACAAAAGGTCACGGCGTCAGTTTACTTACTACCATACTTTTTGTAGACACAGACTGGGAAAACGTCACGTGATCAAAGTTTACTTACTTCCACACAAGCTGTAGTCGCAGATGGGACAAAAGGTGATCATATCAAAGCTCCCACACGCTACCGGACAATTACTTGGGAAAGGTGGGCAACCTGAAAAAAGTAGAAAGTTTTTCAATAAACATTAAGAAGACCCATTAAAAAATAGAGAACAAACTCTTGATAATTACCCTTCAAGGTGTTATGCCAGGTCTAGTTGATGAGATGAAAATTAGTATGCTTATTATTCTTAATATTTATCCCTTATAATGCTGGATGTTTTTGCTATGATCAGCGACTTATGGCGTTGCTTTGAATTGTTTCTATCGTCTACCTGAGGTGTTGTGCTGAGTTTTGTTATGGAATGTCATCTACCTAGTAATCACACCTCTGAGGTTTTGTAGGTCCATGTTTGCTCTGCTGTTATTTTTTTAATGTTTAATGGACTTTTAAGCTCGAAAACTTTTCTTCAACTCCAACTACCTTATTGCGTTTTGCTTTGTTTTGTTGCAGCGAGTACTTTAGATTTTGTGCTGTATCTCTTGTTGTGTTGACATGAATACTTTGCGTTTTATTTGTATAATGACGTATAACTAAAAGGACCTGAAAGCTTTTGGAATTGTTATCAAGCGCTGTTTTTTCAAGTGATGAAGTTGTACATGTGCTTAATATATGGAAGATTTTGATGCTTCTATTTTTGTTGTTGTTCAAAGCACTTGATTTCCTAATCCAATTGTTCCAGTTTTTTTTTTTACCTGTGACCAACCTGTAGTATTTCCTAATCAGACTGATCCGTTTTTACCTATAACCTACCTGTAGTATGTCCTAATCAGACTAATCCGTTTTTTACCTATAACCTACCTGTAGTATTACTTAATCAGACTGATCCGTTTTTACCTATAACCTACCTGTAGTATGTCCTAATCAGACTGATACGTTTTTTACCTATAACCTACCTGTAGTATGTCCTAATCAGACTGATCCGTTTTTAACCTATAACATGTTCCTTGTATGTATCTGTAATGGTAAAGAGGCGTATGAATAAACGCATAGAAGACCTTAAATAATTAATAATGGAAAGACCTGACTACCCGTGGAATAGAATAGTACAAGGGTATATAAAGCGATGTTTTAGGGAATCTGGCATTCAGAAGTTGGCTGAAAAAGCTAACAGATGAATCAGAAACTGAGAGAAAAGAATAAAGTGGTACACACGAAGTAAGAAGGCTGAAAGAGAAAGTCATTAAGAGAAGGAAAGGGTAAAAATAGAATAAGCACCAGTGGCAGGTAATCTAGGGAATTGATGGTAAGTTCTCAGTGCAGTAAATCTGCAGAAGATTGAGACACCCAGTTCTTTCCTATAAAAGGAACCTAGTGTAGAAACACGGTTCAGAAGCAATACCCATTCCACGTCTCTACATAACAAAAATTTTAATTGTGATTTTCCCTTAGATAGAGCGGCCGTACAATTATAAGATTAGTCCAATCATTTACACAGATAGAGTAAGAGAAAAAGCTTTATACTGTACATATATCCCTTGTAGAACCCAATCATACACTTTGCATATCCTTAAAAATCTGAAGAGAAAAAATAGAAGAAAAAATGTTATTTTATTCTTTCAGGATATAAATTTACTTGGAACAAACGACACATGTGATTGGTTTTCCGTTTCATATGGCGGGTATTTCAGACTTCCGCAATGTGCGAGCACACCATACATCAAAAAACTGTATTCGTCATTTTCTGCACCAGCATCCATAAACTCTACTTTTTCATCGACACATATATAGGTTGTAGTATGGGCATGTGTAATTGCGTTTGCTGATAAATACCCATGATACTGTTCTGTCCAACCAGGCAGACATCTATTTCTGCCGGGGATCATTAACAAACTAGCGCCATTTATGGGCGAACACACGGCGCATGGCACATCCTTGTCTAAACTTTCGGTTCCCCAAAAGTGGTCCTGATACTCTGCACCTCTTATATCAGCCTTCCGGTTTGTTAGTTCCCCAGATGACGTCATGCACAAGACAAAGTGGGTTAGCAGCGCCCCCTGATTTGGAATAAGCGGAACCACCTACTTGACCTGCACAAGATAAATATTTAAGCCTAACGTAATTTTGTTCACTTTAGGATAGTTTGTCCGTTTATTTTTCACAATACTCATTTTTAGCTTAGTTACACCATATGATCAAATTAAAGAAAGACCTTGAAAAGCTTGAATGCAAATGAGCAAATATTCATAGAGTTTAGACTAAATTCCGGAGAAAATTTGTCCCGTCGTTCCCGCTTTACAATTAGTGAAGGCCCAAGCTGATGTCGAGTCAATCTCTACCCAGAGTTTTCGTTCCACTTATACCACTGTTAACGTCTGAAAAGTAGTACGGAAGCGGAGGGACGTGATTTTTATTTTATATGTTGTTTAAAATTGCCCACAAGGACAGATTAACACCCGTAAATTTCTTTTTATGTGTCCATGCTGCAAGTTATTTGTCTATAAAAACTAAAACCATGTTAAAATTTATCGGCAATGCTTTTTAAATTTTCCACGTTCGTAATATCCTGCCGAAAAATAATCCCTTAAAAGATATGATGAAAAAGCGATATCTGATTCCAATTCTCATAAATAAACTTTCATTTCATATGTTAAGCAAAAGTATAAAAGTTTTACATTGATAATTTATGATGCAATCGGTAAAAGTAAGTTTTGCTAAGAATCTTGGCATTTAGACGTTGACAGAGGTGTTGTAGCGAAGCGAACGATAACTCTGGGTAGAGATTGATGTCGAGTAAAAAAATTAATGTCAATTTGGGAATTGATTACAGAATATCTCGAGAAGTGAAAGGAATTACAGAATGAACTTTGGTAGTAATGAAGATTGTTTATATTTAGATAGATATGGATAGAAAGTAAAATTGTAAAGCATTTGAGTTAAAAGAATTTTTTTGGCGAAAGTGGGTACCCCATGAAAAGAGTTCCATACCTTTATTTTTTTTCAACAACTCAATTTTTTTTCTAAGCGATCTAAAGGCCTGTGAGAAAAACCAAATTTGATGGTTTTCCCTGTACCACAACAAACCTTAACAGAAACAAATAGCCATGAAACCTCGGAAAAAGGAAACCTGTACTAACCACTCCCTGGCTAACTTATTCAACACGGCAAAGCAACACAACCCGTTTCTTATCAGCGGTACCTCCACAAACTCATACCTACATATAGTTAGTATACATGTACATGCAAAGTTTGGGAAAATCTACCGTCCAGGTATTTTTGAGGGACTGTCTCAAAATACAGGTGCATTTACTATAGGATTATGTAGGAAAATGCCAATTGTTAGCACTTTAAATTTTTTAGCACTTTAAAGCAAATTATACAAATACTGCAATAGACATTTTGTTCAAATTATGATATTTGATGAGTCATACCATATTATACAAGATGTGTAAGAAACACAAAGTTCTACCGTCTTGTTACCAGAGCGGGCATCTCAAAATGAAAAAATAGCAAATTTTACTATGTATTTTAAAGAGTATTACAAAATTTGACGTATACAATGGATTCACATGAAAACATAATGAAAATATTGGAGATATTCTCAAATTTCTATGTTTTGGAATTTCAAGAGCATATGTTTGTTACATTTTTTTAAATAATATTTTTATTACCCTGTTCTTTAAGAGCTACAGATTATCATTACGTCAAAAACACACTGCAACGACGTCAACCTACCTATCAATTGCAAAATCGGTTAAAAAATCAGTTATATAACATTGTAATTACATTTTTATCGCTATAATTTCTTAATTTTGTTTAATTTTAATAATTAAGCGAAAACAGTTGCATTAAAACAGTATATTTACATTTGCAAATGTTTTCCTTTATATAACACTACTGAAAGGAATGCGTATCTATAACTGTATAAATACAGGTATGGGGTCAAAAGGTCATAGATTTGCGTTTTGGATAATCGTTTGACGTAATTTCTCAGTGACGTCATAAAAGGTCGACGCGCGATCAGTGGATTACAATACTTGCCGTTGGGTTTGCAAAATAATGAATTTCACACGTTAAAAGTCATAATCAGACAAATATAAAGTATGAATAAGTCACAAATGTAAATATAAGTTATAAGGTATCATTTTAAAACATCATTCGGGCTATAATTACGTGTTGGTACGATATTAAATTCATCATATAAGCCCTTCGGGCTTTATGGAATTTAATCTCGTGACCAACCCGTATTTATATCCCGATAGATGTTTAAAAATGATACCTTATTTCTTAAAAATACGCTTCATTTTACTATGGTGCGCGAAATATTGCGCAACGGAAACTATAGTCGACCCCCTTAAGCTTATAATTAAAAGTAACGAATATTTTGCAAAGTTAAATAACAGTGCCGCACTATCAATGCTTTATCTGTACTATAAAACTGACCCTGGACAAGCTCCGGAAGATAAGGAATTGACGAAACTTAAGCGATTGAATAAGAGTATAAAATGTTGACGTTTACAATAACTACCATCATAGTAGTGATTGTTTGGCATCAAGTCGGGATACAGGCGTTTAGTAATGTACCTGAAGAGGAAAAAACTCGTGACAAACGGATTCTGTTAAATGATCCGTCCTTGCTTGAACAGAGACTTCAGCAGATGGATCACACAATCCAAGGTATGACGTCAGAAATCCAGAGTATTACGTCAGAACTCCATCAAACCACGCAAAACCTTCGAGATGTGACAAGCAAACTTCACCAAGCAGAGGCGGCCATCAGTAAACTGACGTCATCCATTACAGGTAAATACAAGTTAAATTGATGCAAAGCGTCAAATTGGACACAAAAATATATCAATTGAGCATTTAAAATAATTTTCACAAACAAATCCATATAGGAGAAAATTTAAAATATTAAAAAGTATGCATTGTGCATGGTACGTTTCTATTTTAGATAGTAGTGTAAATAGTAGTGTGATCAAACAAAGAAAACGAATTCGTCGATAAAAGAAAGGGTAGTATCATAATAGAACTACTGAATCAAATACAAATCCCACAAGTATCAAAAATGCTTCATTTGGAGTGTCTAAATTAATTCAGACAACAAAAAAATGCTGACATCTTGAATCTTTATCATGTCATGTGATAATGCCGATTGTTAATTGTGAAATCTTCAACAGGTAACAGTCAAAATTAAAATTGATTTTCTGGCTCTCTTATTAGGAAAATTTACGTACGTGAGGTGGGGCAAACACGGATGTGGAGCCAATGCAACCTTGATATATACAGGTGAGACAACCTAATATATACAGGTGAAACATCAAATTAAAGCATACTTTAAGTTTGAAAAAATGACTTTTTAATAAGAATCTGCTAAAAGTGAGTAGTGTGAAAAAATAAACTGATAAACTCTCTTCTAAAATTGCGTTAGGCTTAAATATTTATCTTGTGCAGGTCAAGTAGGTGGTTCCGCTTATTCCAAATCAGGGGGCGCTGCTAACCCACTTTGTCTTGTGCATGACGTCACCTGGGTATCTAACAAACCGGAAGGTTTCATGGCTGATATAAGAGGTGCAGAGTATCAGGACCACTTCTGGGGAACCGGAAGTTTAGACAAGGACGTGCCATGCGCCGTGTGTTCGCCCATTAATGGAGCTACAGTGGACCCTCATTTATCCGGACGCTCTGGTTCCTAGTCAATTTGTCCGGATATGTGAAGCATCCGGATATCTGAATCACCAGTTAAACAAAACAAAATAACATTTTTAAATTCCGTTCCGATAAAAAATCGTCTGGATACTGAAGCATCCGGATATCTGGCGTCCGGATATCTGAAGGTCCATTGTAGTTTGTTAATGATCCCCGGCAGAAATAGATGTCTGCCTGGTTGGACAGAACAGTATCATGGGTATTTATCAACAAACGCAATTACACATGCCCATACTACAACCTATATATGTGTCGATGAAAACGTAGAGTTTATGGATGCTGGAGCAGAAAATGACGAACATAGTTTTTTGATGTATGGTGTGCTCGCACATTGCGGAAGTCTGAAATGCCCGCCTTATGAAAACGGAAAACCTATCACATGTGTCGTTTGTTCCAAGTAAAGTTGTAAAAAGTTTTACACTGTTTTATCCCTTCAATTGAAATTTTCAATTTGAAAGAAGTCTTTAATAATTTTTACTGTGCACGTTAAAACATAAAATAATCACCAAAAAAATTGTTTAGATGCCATGAATTAAAATCATTAAAATAAAAATAAATATGAAGAAACACTACCACATCAGCAGAAAAACGTCTTTTGAGAACAGGATCCTTAGCTATATAAAGTCAACTAATTCGTGACATATCGAATCGACATAGCACTCGAAATTACCATAGTTAATTGGCGTTTCTCGTCGATATATCTAAATGCCGTTTGAAAACCACAGCAAGTATTTTCTTTTTTCCACGCATAAGATTTTGCACAAATGCTGCTTCAGATGAATAGAGATTTATAGGTATGATAATAACGAAGCGCAAATGGTACCCATGGGGATTTCAATAGATTGATGGAAGACCTGGTCTCCAAAAACAAAATAGATATGGTCAATCAGAAACTCAAGCATCTTTTTGATGTCAACTTCAGAGTTCAGTTATAGGCATTGAGCAATGAACAAAAACATTGAGGTATGAGAATTAAACACATCGAATATAAAAATTTATAAAGTACTTATATAGTACTTGTGTGTGCAATCAGAATGTGTTTTAACCAAAAAAAAAATTTTAAATGGTCAATGATCAGGTAAGAGTATTTACATGTTCCATTTTTATAGAAAAAGCAGCTGTCAATGTAATAAAAAAGCCTGGACTTAAGTTTATCTTGATGAATGGTTGTGTATAAAGTTGAAAAGTGACTCATTGACAATATTTCAAATCATTATTGTAAAACAAAGATTTAATAAAAAAAAAAAATTATTCCATTGAATTTAATGAGTACATGCTTTGATTTATTGACCCGTGTGTGGTCTTATTGACACGTGCTTGGATTTATTGACCCGTGTGTAGGCTGTGAATTTATAGAACACATTTTTGCTGGTCCGATAAAAGTGGAATGTATTTCCTTCTAAGCTACCAACAACTATCTGTAGGTATGGCATTGTTCTTCGGTTGTAAGATAAGAAATAATCGAAACATTTACAAATCTACATGCACGTCTGGAATGGTGTTCCTATTTACTTCAATTTTAGCATTCATTGTGTCCCATGCGATTGGAGAAAAGGCGTCAAGTCATATATCAATAAAGAGGAAAAGTTTCGTGAGGGGCGGATTTTACTAAATGACCCAGCCTTGTTTGAACAGCGCCTCTAACAGTTAGAGCAAAAAGTCCAGAGTATGAAAACCGAACTTAGCCAAGCCGAACAGCGCCTTCAACAGTTAGAGCAAAAAGTCCAGAGTATGACAACCGAACTTAGCCAAGCCGAACAGCGCCTCCAACAGTTGGAGCAAAAAGTCCAGAGTATGACAACCGAACTTAACCAAGCCAAACAGCGCCTCCTACAGTTAGAGCAAAAAGTCCAGAGTATGACAAGCAAACTTTACCAAGCCGAGGCTTCTATTAGTAAACTGACACACTCTAGAAAAGGTATGAAATAAAGCTATTTATATAGTCTCCTCTCTTTCTGAACAGCCATGTATTCACAATGGGCGTGTCTCAAACAAGATGTTCAGACAACAGAACAGTCATGTATTCACAGTGGGCGTGTCTCAAACAAGATGTTCAGACAACTGAACAGTCATGTATTCACAATGGGTGTCTCTCAAACAAGATGTTCAGACAACTGAACAGCCATGTATTCACAGTAGGCATGTCTCAAACAAGATGTTCAGAAAACTGAACAGCCATGTATTCACAGTGGGCGTGTCTCAAACCAGATGTTCAGACAACTGAACAGCCATGTATTCACAATGGGCGTGTCTCAAATAAAATGTTCAGACAACTGAACAGCCATGTATTCACAATGGGCGTGTCTCAGACAAGATGTTCAGACAACTGAACAGTAATGTACTCACAGTGGGCGTGTCTCAAACAAGATGTTCAGACAACTGAACAGCCATGTATTCACAGTGGGCGTGTCTCAAACAAGATGTTCAGACACTTGAACAGTCATGTATTCACAATGGGCGTGTCTCAAACAAGATGTTCAGACAATTAATAGAAAAGGAAACAAGGATCTCTAAGAATGAATGTTAATTATTTTAATTTGTTTAAAAATGTAATTTAAGATTTAAGTTTGTTAGTCTTAAGAGCACGCATTCTGTGAAACTGAAAGTATTTTAATATGTATAAATCTTTTCATGAAACTCATCTCGCGAACCAATGAGTTCAAGGTTGTTAATTTAATTAATAAAGGAATGAAGCTTATTTCTACGCGGAGTGGTTTACAGAAAAGCGTAAACTGCCCAAAGTTATGTAATATCGTATAACATAAGTTGAAATAGGCTTCATTCCTATAATTTAATTTCAATGAAGACAATGAGACAATTTTTCCATTTTTTCCTTATCGCATAATCTAAAAGTTAATATCAAGAAGAGTAATACATTTTTGACGAAATCATTGTGTCGTAGGCAAGTAATGTTATATAAAATGGACAAAACTGTCTAACAAATCAAATCACGTGTTACAATTAAAATCAAATCATTTAGAAATATTCGTCTACGTACTTTCTGCCATATATTCATTGATTAACTGTTTGAATTGGCACTGCAGTGCAGTGAATTTATAATTAATTGAACAATAAACCTTTAAATTGATAAAACTGAAATATTATCGACGAAATGATGTAACTTTTGCATCTGTTGAATTAGATTCTTTTAGGAGGATCCATTTGTTTGACATAAAGAAGTATGCTCTAATAATGTATTGCATTTTCAGTAAATTTATTATTTTGGCACTATTTATCTGACCTTTGCTCCAATAATGTATAGAATTATAAATGAACACAGATTTCAATTATTACTTGTTTTAATTTAAAAGTAGGGAAAAAATTAGAATATTTATTTAATTATTTTAATTAGCTATCTTCTTTCCCAAGGAAAACCTACGTACGTAAGGTGGGGAAAACACGGATGTGGTGCCAATGCAACCTAAATATATATAAAGGTCAGATAACCTTAATATATACAGGTCAGATAACCTTAATATATACAGGTCAGATAACCTTTATATATACAGGTCAGTTAACCTTAATATATACAGGTCAGATAACCTTAATATATACAAGTGAGACAACCTTAATATATACAGGTCAGTTAACATTAATATATAAAGGTGGGAAAACCTTAATATATACAAGTGAGACAAACTAAATATATACAGGTCAGATAACCTTGACATAAAAAGATGGGAAAACCTTAATATATGCAAGTGAGATAACCTTAATATATACAGGTGGGACAGGCTAAATATACACAGTTGGGGCAGCCTTTATTTATACAGAAGGGATAACCTTGATATATACAAATGGGAAAACGTTAATATATACAGGTGATACAACCTTAATATATACAGGTGGGAAAACCTTAATATACACAAGTGAGAAAACCTTAATAAGTACAGGTGGGACAACCTTAATATATACAGGTGAGACAACCTAAATATATACAGGTGGGACAACCTTGATAGATATACAGGTTAGACATCCTTAATATATACAGGTGAGACAACCTTAATATATACAGGTGGGACAACCTTCATATATAAGGTGGGAGAACCTTTACATATTTCACGTTAAAAGTGAGTGTAGCACCAAGTTTAGCAAAGATATAGGAATATGAATTATGGAGGAAAAAGTCTTGTTTGTTTTTATATCCTTAAGCTGCAAGAATTGCAGAAAAACACTACAGCATCAGCCGAAAAAGGCTCTTTGGAAAATAAGTACAATTTATCAAATATGAGAATATAAACCACTAAACCCATACTGATTAATATGTTTTCCATGTACATAATGGAAAGGGGAATGAAATGTTAGATCCGCCGAAAATTGACGTTTGCAACAACTAGCAAAATATGCATATAATGAATATTCATGACTATTTGACTGTGTGACTCCTCGGTGCCAGTAGATAAATGGGACGGAGACCGGTGATCGATCCCGATCAAAATAAATCACAGGTGTATCGATCTCCCAGGCACGTGTACAGCAGACGACACTCCGTGACGCCGTGTTATGGCCGCCTGCTGTCTCGCGGTCTACCATTCCTGGTGTAACGTCTGCTCTGTCCAGTCTAACAGGTCTGCGGCTTCTTCTTATTGTTTTCTCAATTAATTGTGATTAATTTTGTTGTATTAATAATATACTTAATCTATTCAAAGTGAAGTATTTACTTTCATTTTTTTGGTCTTATTTATTTATTTATTATTTTTATTTTTTTTTTTAATTTTTGTACTTTTAATGCATGATCGATGAACTGGTCTGTCAATGAATGTTATTCTTATAAATTAACCATGTTTTAAATTAACAATTTTGACAGTTTTTATCAAAAGTTAAAATTGTTTGAAATTTTAATATGCAAACAGGCTAAACATTTTTATTTTATCATATTGATATTAGAATTAAACTTGTAATTAGCCGTTATTATAACAGAATCATTCTATCCTTGTGTATTTTATTTACCGGTATATTGGAATAAATGCAATCAAATGCATATATGGGTATTTCATTAGTACATAGATAAAGTAACGCACTTTTACAATCTATTTTATTTTTTTAATTTTAAATGCTTGTCAATGAATTTTATTGTAGTTGATAGTGCCCCTATATAAACAGTATGAATGCCACCTCCCCCCCCCCCTTCACTGAAAAGTTTTATTTTTCCGAATTTCAATAGAGAGAGGGCGTGGTAAGGACAATTTAATGGTCAAGACTCATATAGTAGGCAAAGTTCATTCTGCATGGCTGATAAGGCTTAGGGGGACCAACAAAAAATATTTTTGAGATTTTTAGACCGCTGCCTGATAATAAACGGATACATTAATATATGTACAAAATTTGGGGTCTCATTGAAATAAAATTTCAAATTATAAGAAGAATGCAGAAGTAACATGGTATCAATTTTGAAAGGGGTTGGGGAAATACACATCTGTAAAAAATCTTATTAGCAAATAAAACTAGATGCTGTCATGAGACAGTAATACCCGCACTATGGTGTTTGCCTCTAAATATACACTCATTCATATTGGACTTTCCAACTTGAAGGAAGAAGTCAAAATAATTCTATAATTATCACCGTACATGTATTCGTCAAATTGAACATAAAATTTTCAGATGACCATACTATATCAACTCTGAGCCTCACATATGTATTTTAAAATACTTAATTCATAACCAGTCTGAAATAACAGAATGTAATTAATGATTGAAGTAAATTACTTAATTAGATTCAAATAAATAATTTTCCCATAATTTGGAACTTTTTAAATTTACTTTCTCAACGACATAAAATATTATTTTAGTACAAAGCGTTTTTGATGAATTTATCAAAATGTGCAAACTGATTTTAGTATTTGGTCGGGAAAAAAACCCATTGAAAATACAACCCGATTAATTTGTCAATGCCTATCCCCCCCCCCCCCCCCCCCCCACATACACACACACACACTCTCTCTCTCTCACTCTCACTTTTTTTAAAAAACATAGTTTAGTTTATTATGATAGTTTGAAATTTGTTCTTGTACTAAACAGTTTTATTTTTTACATTCACATTGGGTTTGCGTCACCCATTATCATATTTATAGATATCACCTCTCGGCACACCTCGGCCAATTCATACTGGCAACGGAATCAGCAAAGGTTTGTCGAATGAGATTATTTAGCACATGTATGCTGACGATGCAGTGTGGTCAGTTAAAATCATTTGTGTTTT